CTACCCACACCCCTAGACGCCATCTTGTGTCCTGTGGCACGGAATCGCGCGCTCAGTGAATCTGTGACGTGGTGCCCACTACCACCATCGCCACCCTATCAGGTCAGAGCGGGAGAGAGAGAGCGGGAAAAACCAATTAGCCGTCCGCAGCGCGCGACTTTATAAAGGCTGGCGTGGCGCGCGGGGTCTGCCAGGTGTCTGCATGTTCTCTGACCTCACTCACACACTCACGGGGGGACGGACACTCCTGTGATCTACTGCCCACTTTGCTGACCGCTGAGAGACTTTGTCGGGATAAAACAGCAGCTCTGTAACAAACACAAGAGCGGACTCTAGAGTTGACAAGACTTCACAGAAAGGGATACAAACAAGAAAAATTACTTCGTAAATGCCTGGGAAATTGTCAAGGAACTTTATAAAGCTGCTAGAACGTCAAATATCATACATATTGTAAGCAATAAACAAATAACAGAAAAAGAAAGAGTGAATTAATTAAGTTGTTTTATAGTCTGTCTTTTATCATTCCCATAAAGAGTTGACGATACCGCAAAGCTATGAATTCCCCAATTACTGAAGTGAGCCAAATTATCTTGAAGTAGCTAGCGTAAGTAACCCGGTGAATGAACATTGGAAGTGTCGCAAAATCCTAGCCACTCACACTGAGAGAAGAGAGCCCATTGCCAAGTTATCTCAGTTACGTTCTCTCTCCGAACGGAGTGATTAGTGCAACAGACGATTGTCCATCCTATCTGACAACAGACGACTGTCCATCCTAACTGACCAGACAGCCTCAACTTCTGACCACCATGACATTCGCAGCATCGTTCAGAGCTCTGCTATGTGTGCTGTTTTGTGCAGCGCTTGTCCACTGCAAGGTAAGAAAACCGTTACATAAATTCATTTAGTTTTAGTAAGAGTTTTTCGGCACTGGCAGCACAATAAGGTCATATAGGTGCCAAAGATTAGAGGTGTTACAAGAGAGTAACAAACAGAAAATAGAAGGAAGGGAGGGAGATAAATACGATAGATGTTGGCGTATAGAGAGCACACACGAACCACCCACTATAAGTTCATGTCTCCGAAGTTAGCAGTTTCGTTATTAATTTGGCGTGTATTTGTTGTTGTTATTTCTGCTACTGCTGTTGTTGTTGTTGTAACTGCTTCTGTCGTTGTTGTTGTTGTCGTTGTTGTCGTTATCGTTCTTCTTGTTGTTGTTCTTTTAGATTTTTAGAAACTGTTCCAAGAACATAACACGGATGCTTTGCCATTTCTTTTGACACTGTCTTAACCCTGTCCGTACGTCGTGTTTTACTATCGTATCCATACGACGCTTGGAACTCTGTGCCACCACTTAACCCTATCCGTACGTCGTGTTTAACTATCGTATCCATACGACGCTTGGAACTCTGTGCCACTACTTTCCAAAGAGGAAATTGACTCGTTGATCCGATCCGCACCTTTTGCATAGCAGTTTGTGAAAATTATTTTTTGAGAAATATTGAAAGTTTCGAAGAGATTTTCGCACTAGAAGTACTCTAAAATGCGAAGAATACAATCCCGGGTGTACAAAATGACCCCATGGTGTACGGATACGGTTTGATTCTCTAGGTACTTTCTATCAACTCATTGTCTAACGTGTCACAAATTCTGTCACTGGGCGGGAACCCAAACAGCCGACAAGGTGTCAGTCTCGAGCTTCCCCAGCTGTCACCGGAAACCGCATCGTCTTCCTCTGGTCAAAAACAAATCACACGCCGACAAACTCAATTAATGTTCACGATTCTGAAGAGCAGGCAGGTTTTAAACTTGTATAGTTTCAAATTAAGCACCGCCCTGGCTTTTGATCCTGCCTTTTCCGATTTTTTGGGGTCACAATCTCTTATTTCATGGTTTTGGATTTTTTGGTTTTTTTCAAAAGCTCTTTTTCCATGGTTGTTTTTTTTTTTCGCAAAATCTCTTCATTCTATATTTCTTTCCCCTCTCCGACAAATTTTAGCTACAGACCTCCGCTGTTGTCTTCGGATTCAGTGAACCATGAACACGAAACAACTCAGTTGGGAAAAAAATAACTTACTAACTACGTAGCAGATGTTATGATCCAAAGGGCACGCAGTGGTTTTTTTGTGTGTGTGAGGAGAGGGGGGGGGTGGTTGGTAAGTGTTTTACGGCGCTCACAACTGCATAAGGTCATATGAGCTCGCGGGACGCAACAGTAAACATACGAAATGTTTTATAGATGCTTGTGAATACAAAACAGAACGAAGGTGAAGGTTGTGGAGCTATACAGAAACTTTTCGTCCTATAACTCACTAGCTGAGACGACGGAGGCAACATATCGGCATTGTGAGGTGTGCTGACAAAATGACTGAAGTCTCGGATTTTACCCCTACGGACAAAAATAGATACATGAAATGTATAGGTTGGGTTTGTACAATTTATTACAGGAAATTATGAAAGACATGTTTAACTTGAAGAAAAAATGGCATCCCTTAAAAATGTACAAACTTGATGTGTCTATTTTCGGCTGACGTCTCCACTCATGGGTTGTGAGAAGTAACTCATTTTGTCAGCACGACTCTCGAAATAAGTTAGGCGCTTCGCTGTTGACCACAGAAGACCAGAGGACCCGAGTTCATTAACTGTCGTGTGTGGGAGAATTTCTAGAGAGTATTTCGGTCTTTTTTGCTTGGACGTTGTGTCCCTTTCAGATCTGTTTGGTCCTGAAAAAACAGGGTCGAAGCCCCCTTCCCAAACAGTCTAAATTATTTTGCTTATTGGGGAGTAAAAACACCTACCTTGGAAAAGAATTATTGAATTTGTTGTCAACATACGCCCTTCTTCATACGGCCTTCTTCATACGCCCTTCTTCATACGGCCTTCAGACATTTGTAGGTAACATAGGCCTTCAGAAATGTGTGGGCAATGTACGGCCTTCAACATACGCTCTCCATAATCGCAAACTTGTGGGTAACATAAAATTATGGCCTTCGCAAATTTGTGGGTAACATACGACCTTCATAAATGTGTGGGTAACATACGACCTTCATAAATGTGTGGGTAACATACGACCTTCATATATTTGTGGTTAAAATACTGCCTTCGCAAATTTGTGGACAACGTGTGACCTTCACAACTGTCACTGCACACACCAATTTAGCCTTTTAGACCCTATCAGAAGTTGAAATAAATCATGTATTTCCATTTTAGTGTATTTTCTGTATTGATGATAATCACGGTTCATAGTTTTGATTGATTGGTTGATTGAGTAGGTGATTGACGGTACTATCGACTCAATTTAGGTCATGTAAGTGCCAAGGTTCATGGTTCGATAAGTGTAAAAAAAAAATTAAATTAAAAAATAAAATAAAAAAACGCCCCCACCCCAATTAAAAAAAACACACAAAAAAGCAAAAACAACAAACAAATCCCCCACAAAGCAAAATTAAGTTGTACAATTATTTCCGATTCATCATGGGGGGGGGG